TTCAAAAGTATCTGACCGCCAAACACGGCAAAGAAGCTCTCTTCTTTTCTAGGACTTTGTTCATATTATAGGTCCTTTATAAAAGATTTTGCAACTATTGCTGAACCATTGTTAAAATTAAAAAGGAAAAAGGCAAGATTCTCGTGGACGGCCGAAGCCAATAGTGCTTTCGAAAAATTAAAACAAGCATTAACGCAAGCCCTGTGTTGAAATTTCCTGAAAAGGATGAAAATTTAGAAATTTCAGCGGATGCTTCGGATTATGCGGTAGGAGCGGTAGGTACTTTCGCAAAATCAGCAGCCAGTGGCATTTTTTAGCCGAACTTTAAATCAAACACAAAGAAACCTATTCCGCGACCGAGAGAGAGGCACTTGCAGTTCTGTTAGCAGTGCAAAAGTTCCGAGTCTATTTGGAAAGGCGCCGATAACAGTATATTCTGATCATGCGGCGGTGGTAACTAGATTGTACTCTGGGAAAAAATTTATCCCCAAGGTTAATAAGATGGGCACTCAAGCTGCAAGAATATAATCTGGTAATCAAGCATACCCCCGGAAAGGAAAATATCGTAGCAGATGCCCTGTCACGAATTAAATTAGACGAACAGGGTAAGGTAATACCGTAAAAGTTGCAATGCTGACAGCGTGTACAATAAATTCCCGAGAAACTGTAATAACCGAACGAGGGTAAGGATCCTGAGTTTGGAAGTATTTATGAGTATTTGAAGGATCCTGAAAATTTTAGCCACCAAGATATTGTGGCGATAAGAAATAGGGCGGCCCATTACGAACTAATAGATGGTCTATTATTTTATACAAAAAACTACGAATTCCAACAACGAATTTCGACCTGTTATCCCAGCTAGTCTTAGATTAAATATCCTGCAAGAGCTCCATGACAGCCCTTTAGCTTCTCATGCTGGTATTCGAAAAACCATACTCAACGCGTACGCGAGGCAGTCTACTTTCCTGAAACTGCAAAAGTTAACAAGGGCGTATGTCCAGTCCTGCCCAACATGCCAAGTAGTATGTTAAAAGTAGTATGCCAAGTAGTAGGTTAATTATATTTAATTTCCGCCCGGCCGGGTTTCTAAATAGTATTAAATCCGAATTTCCAAATGAAAATAATAGGCATCGATTTATTGGGCCCTTTTCCCAAAAAGTCAGTTAAATAAAAGTCGCTATCTCCTTGTTATGAGGTTGATCATTTTAGTAAATGGACCGAAATTGTTCCCTTAAAACGAGCCTCCGCGAAATTAGTTACTGATTCTATTTTAAATAAATATATTTTAAAATACGGGGCGCCCCTAAAAGTTATATCGGATAATGGTCCTCAATTTGTAAGTAATATATTTGAAGACATGTGCCAAAAACTGGGCATACGTTCATTTAAAAATGGTCCCGTATCGGCCGCAATCAAATATAGCGGAACGGGTCAAACAGAAATATAGTGAAAATTATCCGTAGTTATGTTAAAAAATTTTCATAAAAGCTGGGATAACTATGTCAATGAATTTGCTTTCGCCCTTAGGACCGCAAAACATGATACAACGGGCAAAACTCCTGCTGAGTTATTTCTAGGCAGAAAGGTTATAACACCGTTAGATAAATATTTTATGTGCAACAAAGAGCCCCAGAATTTAAAATGGGTGATATAGAAAAAAAACTAATAAAAGAAGCAAAAAAGAATACGGAAGTAGCACAAAGAAAACAAAAATTGTATTATGACTTGAAACGACGGGGAGTAAAACTTATAAAGTAGGGGATGAAGTACTTAAAAATTAAGCATTCACTTTCTTCAGCACCAGAAGAGAAATAAAACTGCCAAATTTTTTCCACGCTTTGAAGGACCATATGTTATAGAAAAAATAACTCACGCTGTTGTAGTGTTAAAGGCAAGAAATGGTGATGAAACCTGTTCCGCAAACATTGACCAGATAAAAACCATACTATGACCGTAATAAAATGCAAATCTTTTCAGATCTTTTGCAGGATCCGGTACGGCAGACACCGCAGGTACAAGTTCCAGAGGTGGGAAAAACGACAAGTACAAGGGCAAGCCAATGAGAGACAGAAGCAAGTGAAAAGAAAATTGCCCCGCGGAAAAATTGAAGGTACAAAGAAAAAGAAGCCGTTCCACCGTCCAAAAAACAGAGTTCACGAACACCCCCAGAATGAAGAAGGGAGAAGGACGACGTATGTGGAAAAGAGGGACCGGGAAAGAAAGGACGGCAAAACTATAACCCGGCTGTGAAACGGAAGAGATTGACTCATCCGGCAGAACTCTCCGCAGCAAAAGTCGCCGAACTGCGGAAGGGCCATCAGCGGCGGAGGAAAAAGTACAAGAAAAATTTGAACGGCCAACAACGAGGTCCAAGCAGGATCACGACAGAAGTTTCCCGGTTCCACCAAGACCAGCTGCCTTCAAACGGCCAAGACCACAAGCAGAGGACAGAAGGAAGATGTTCAAGGGTGGCCGTAGTGGTGAAAAACGGAAGCTTCCAGAGGAAAGCACTGAAGGGCGAGCCCGTACAAGAAGGAGGATCAACCAAGCTAAGGTCTGCAGCACCTTTAAAGACTGGGTCCAGAAAAGGATGTCTGAATATTACAAAGATAAGTAAAATTTTATGTTACTTTACAAACTTAAGTTAATCTTTCATTCTTACTGCAAGTGGCAGATATCAAGAAGTTTTACCTCATGCGAGGTGTACCTTTATCGCCAAAAGGGCGAGAAATGAGTTGTGACCGATTTTCTTATTATGTTTTTCAATTACTCGCGCGTAAAAAACTAAAGTTGATGTATAATAGCGTTGTATAAAGACTTAAATATTGTAAAAAGTTATTGTATAAATTTTATTTAAAAACATTCTAACAAGAAAGAAGTTTTAGTTTGAAAGACTTTTTGAAATGTAGTATTATTTCAATGTAGAAAGAATTGGCACTTGCTTTGAAAAGAATAGAAGTTAACAATGTACTACTAATGTATGTTTTCAAATGTGTAAAATTAACGGCATCTTGATATGTTCTTGTATACATGTGAACTGTTATTTTGAATGTTTAGAAATACCGTGATATGGTAAAAGTGAAAGTAATGTTAAAAAAATTTGTTATTCGTGTGTGACTGTAAAGATTAAATCATGGTGAATATGTGTTAAAGGTTGAATGATGTAGTTAGGCTCTCTGACGCTACACTTTAGAGTTAGCCACTTTCAGAATAGTACCTCAGGGTCTAGAGTTGAAATTAGGGTGTGTTAAGAGGTCTCGTATTGTTGAATTTTAACACATTAGTGTTTTGATTGTAGGCGGAAAGTGTGAACACTTGTACAGAGACACACATTCGTGTTTAGTGTTTCTCTTTACAACACATGTCAGAGAGCACGGGGAGAGATGGGGAGATAATTAAATAATGGTCATGAATGAAATAAGTATAGAGTGTTTAAAAGAAAGTATATGCGTGTATCATGTTACTTGCCATTTGATTGTGTTAACAATTTGATTAAACTAGTTTTCCTTCCAGATCTCTGAAGGAACCAGAATTGAAATTAGAAAACTCCTGTTTTTATGCAGTACAGTATGAAAATGAAAAGATTGTTGTATATTCCATGGAGCTGCTGATTGTAACAACGACTTTCTATATAATTTCTAAAATTAGATAGTTTCTTAGCTGAAGGCGTATGTTTGTAAAAGATTGGCCTCGCGTTAGATTTAGATTCTAGAGCTTAAAAGTTTTCAACAAGGTCGTTTTAGACCTCAGTTTCAAACTAATTAACTCTGGCGGGAAGTATGTAAGGATCTTAAGTTTTACTAACGTTTATTTTATTTTAAATCTTTACTATCACTTCTTATTTTCTACTTCCGGCCAGAATTATAAGCGTGAAGGAGTTTATGCAAAGTTGTCTGGCGAACGCCAAGTATTTAAGTGTGGCCTTTTTGCCAAGCAGAGAGGAGAGGAAGCCGTGAGTTCGAAGCAGGCCGCTTACCTTAGAAGTTACGCAGTTGCTACTTTGCCTTCCAGGCCAGAGGTTTTAATCCTCTTGATAAATTAAACGTATTGTAGTGTTCACAGTCTCTGTGCTACATACGCTTTCTGTTATTATAAGGCCAATCTTATTCTAAAAGTTAAAATTAGAGTTTAGTTTTATTTTGATATCTTTTAAGTTAGACCCCGAGTGGAGGGTCATTGTATTCCGAAGTACGGAAGTCATTGTATATAAAGAAAAAAAATAAAGGGTTTTGTATACCCTTCGTCTGTATCCTGTCTACTTACTACAATTAGTGAACATAGCTTTAGTAAGCTCTCTGTTCTAGTCAGGTCATTGTATGTTTCCGAAGAAGGTTAGAAGAAACATTGAACCTGATAAACATACTTAACTTTTGATATATTTCACCATAACAGACATACAGCTGCATCTAGCAGCAAAAAAAATATTAATTAAATGTTCTATCTAAAAAGTAAAATGTGGTACGCCCAGCTATAGAGTGAACTAAATGGGGATTCAAATATGACACACCCGGCCGTGAGATAACGTTTGCTGCTGATGCATATGTGACATGCCCATACTGAATGGGTTAATAATGTTCCTTATTTTCAGATATATTTATTTTATATGTCCTTAATTGTCTTAATTTATTTTGATTTTTAGTATAAATGTTATGATTTATCTTTTCTGTCCAGAAATCCCCCAAATCATCAATCCTACACAACCTCCCAAAACTCTCAAATCTGGAACCAAGCATTGCAGATTTCTAGTCTTCTACTGTACTTATTCATTCATAACATTAACTTCAAAGAATAGATCTTTAAATATGTCATCCTTGTTAGTTGAAGCAACTATCCCAGTGTGTATCCTTTTGCTGCTTATCTTTTGCAATATTCAACTAACAAATTTTCAGTAGAAAATTGCTTTACATTTTGCTGCTATTTTTTAATGTAATGAAAAGCACTTAATGCATTTTATTAAATTATAATGTAATTCTCTCAGTGTATGTTTCTTCATATTACAGTGCTCTGTAAGCTGTGGTGATGGTGTATCGAAGAGACATATCTATTGCCGTTCTTCTTATGAGGAAGTTAATGACTCGCATTGCATACATTTGCTTCGTCCTGCTGCTTTCAAAAATTGTTCTACTGGTATTCCATGTGCCAGCAACATCATATCCAAAGAAAATATTTCAGAGCAGCATATTAAGGAACGGATGCGAACTCAGCGTATAGTTGGCCACCCTAATACCATTTCAGAATTTTTTCATGCTATTTGGAGGGAAGGAGATTGGACAAAGGTATGTTATTTCTTTTACATGTAAAGTTGCAACTTACTTAAAATATGGTATTACTATATGTTCAATACACACTGATTGGACTAATTATTTAAACATATATATAGACTATTGTAATTTAGACAGATTTTTTAAGACTCTAATTTTGAATTGCAGCTTTAAGTCTAATATTTCAGGATAATTTAAAGTTAGGCAGAAAAATAACTTTATTTGGCGTAGATTATCAATAAATCTCTATTTATTTTGAGGCAAGTGAGACACAAGTCTATCTTTAGGAGAGTGGAGGAAATTACAAGAATTTTCTGCTCTTGAAGAAGAGAGGTCTGTGTCTAATTGCTTTCTAAAGTGCTGAAGTTTTATTCAAAATGTATGCCAAACTAAGGCTTTTTTCCCCCTTAGTTTTAAATTTTACATTAGCCTGTTTCTCTTCCTTTAAAGCAACTTTTGCAGATCATTTATATGAAAATAAGTCTCAAATTTTAAAGTAGCATACAGAATAATATTTTGATCTGTGCGATTTTGTACTCAGTTCTGTCATCATTCTCTAATGCTGTGTTATCTTAGCAGCATTCCTACATGAAAAGTATTTACTTCCTAATTATATGCCAAGAATGATTATGAACTATAATAAACTTGATTTAGTTAATATGCAAGACATTTTACTTTTGAAAGAAATCATGTGTATCATTCTGTAAAAGGAATTAATTTGTAACTATGTAATTTATGTGCATTGTACAGTTTTCTGCATCTTTTAAAGTACATTTAGTGAAATGAATTTTTTTCTTTCATTGTGTTAAAATAACCATGGCATAAAATTTACTTTCTCTGATAGTCTTACTATCTTCCAATTTATTTAAAGAAGGAAGAAAAAATTTCTAATTTGATTGTGCTAGCTGAGTATAAGCAGCTATTTGACTTTCTTAAGGATTGCTTAATTTTCCTAGAAACAATAATAGAAGTGCCACACATTTTTTTGTAGAAGAAGCAGAACAATAATTAACTTTATTTTTAAGATTATTTATAATTTTGGGACATAAAATAAGCTGATATAAAAAGATGCTAAATTTTTTTAGAGGTAAAGTGGGAATTTCACTTCTAAATTTTGGGTTTTACATTTACAGATTATATCAAATAGTGCAGATTTCTAGTATTTTAATTCATTAGCTATTCCTACAGGTATAGTGCCCTGCTGCCCTACATCAATAAATATTGCAAACAGGAAAAATTTCATGCTGTACATATTTAATTAATTATATGAATTTGTGTGGAATCATTCCCTCATCTCCAACAAATGGCAGGACTTGTCAAGATTTGATTTCGTTTGCAATCGCAAAGGTACATTCTGGGATTAGTTCTGTTTTAAGCAGTTCTATGGAGACCATCATGAAATCTTTCTAGTGGCTGTAACTACAACACCTAATATTATTTACTTCTGCCAAAGCTTTTCGACAATGTATTTGTTATCGTTAATCTTAACTGTTATTAAATTATTATGTCTGGCATCATTGAATGGAAAACTTTTGCACACATTCTAATCCAGCGTTCAACAAATCTATTACAATAGTTGTCAAATTTTTCAATCAGTTGCTACAATTACATTATGTTTACTATAAAAGAAGTCTGTTTATTTCTTTATCTCTGTAATTCTCACTTATAGTCAATAACTGCAAGGTTGTCATTGACCACAAACAAAATGCATGTCAAAACTGATACCATAAACTGTGATTCACATAAATCTCTCCTAACTCTTACTGTTATTAATTATATGCCAGCAACGAATATATTTCCTAATGGAGTCTAAATCGATTCAGATAGTTCAACTGTGATGTACGAGCTGGTTTCAAATTTTTGTAAAAAGAATTCATAATATGTAAAACTGTTGCTGAAAAAATTGCCAGAATAACGGGACACTACATTTATGCCAAGAAAACAACATTGATGTAGGGCATGTGTAAAATAAAATTTCATTCCTTAAAAAATTTTAAAATATGTGATTCCCCAAATGATAGTTTGAAGTAAATGAATTTAAACTATTGCTTTTGAAACTAGAAAGAATTTTCAGAAATGTATATTCACCAGTTTAGCACTTATAGCTACTTTTAACAATAAACTGTTTTCAGAAATTAATGATGTTTTAGATAATTTCGGTCGTATATGAGTAGTAATTTTTTGTCTGTTTAATTACAATGGAAAATATTGTTTTCACGAGGATTAATTTCGTGATATGTACACAGATTTAAATTTCATACATTTTAAAAAGTATGATGTGATTAAAATTGTCATTATCTGAAGGGCTTTCATAATTTGATTTAGTTATTAAACCTGAAACCATGTGTCTGATCAGCTGTTCAAAAATAGTCAAGCCAAATAAATAAACCAACAAAATTGATGTCAATTTTATTAGTTTATTTCTTTGATTCTACTGATTTTATTTGCTATGTCATTCTCTGTCAATTAAAAAATTAATAGAGCAGTGATTTTTAGAAACACCATATTCTTATACACAGGGTGATTCTAAGGCTGCTATCACACATCCATTTCTTTTGGAAGAACAACTGTTTGGAACAACTTTTCTGCTTTGTCATAACAGCCAAACACTTTTCTGCTTTGTCACAACAGATCGCTTTGGGGTTAACACAGGGGAAACTGGTTTCCCATTACAAACAAGCTGATAGCATTTGGAGCCGTTAGCTGATTGTTTGAAAATGAACAACTTGCAATTTTTTTGACAGGAAGAAAAACAATTGTGCATCTTTCTTTCAATAGTAAGCCAGGTGGAAAAATTCTCCAAAACAGTTGTTTGTGTGAAACAAGTGCGTGTGTGTGATATGGGCCTAATATTGTAAAAGCTGGTAGGGGGTTCAGAAAAGAGCAGATTTTGCAATGAAATATGTATTCAGAAGTGGCACATTGATGTACGTAATGCTATTCAGGGATACAAAATCATTTTTCTGGTGTAAATCATAAATACCTGTATGGATTTCAGGTCGTATGCATCGCTACACGAATGCTGACCCTAACATACACTTTATATATAGGCTACAGACAGAAATGGGGCAACTGCTCAAGGGAGTTCAGTTCTCTCTGAATCATTCATTGAATGTGTTGACCAGAATGCGTTCCAGACTTAGTTTCAGAAACATGAATTCCTTTTAAGGTGGTACACAAATGCATGAAAAGAGTACATGGAAGCCAACGATATCCACTGGTGTATGTACCTTTTTAAAGATCTGTTCCAGAAATTAAATTGCCATATCATTTATGTGTATTTGACACTGGAGAATCACATGGAAACTTGTAGCTAAAGACATCATAGCAAATTAAGAGAACATGACAATCTTTGAAACATCCATACTTTTTTATTTTAAGACTTGAGAAGGCATGATACACTTACACATTGAAAATGTTTCTCACAGCACACTAACAGACTCCTAGGAAACAAACTTGCAGTGTCATTCTGATGAGTGGTTTCTTTGGGGTTTTCATATTAGCAGTAAAGGTATAGTTAAATGAACATTTAAGCATTTACTTTAAGCCAGGGTTTCTTAAACTGTGTGTTGCGACCTCCAATAGGGGGGTCACCAAAAATTTTAGCAGTTTTGATATTTCTTTAACTGATTATAATAATTTTACAATTACTAAATATTTTTACACAATGTATCTGAAATTAGATAAAGATAAGACAATACAGACAAAGTAAAAAACGAAAACGTTTCAATGTATTCTTTTTATAATATAAATGTTCATTTTCCTTGCATGACGTTGTCATTTCGTCTGTCACTTATTTAAAATTTCACATTGTTCTATGTCTTAAAATTAGAAATTAAAGTTAATGACCTAAAAACTGCAATAGTATATTACAGTACAAGTGAAAAAATTGACAATTTCACTCTCATGTGTGTCCAATTTGCACAATACTTATGGGGTCCTGGGGGTCGCAAAAAAATCTGAGTGAGAAAAAGGGGTCACAACTAAAAAAAGTTAAAAAATCCTGCTTTAAGCCATTATAAATTCCTCCCTCTGCAAGACTCATGCAGCCATGTCGACCCAGCCACCTAAACCCTACAAAGACAGAAAGGTACCATGAGAATTAAAATTTGCACTGAACAACTGCTAAATAGCATGATGGCCAGTCATACCCTCTAATGATATGTGATTTATACAATGAGTTATTTTATCATAAATTTAAATGCATGATAAACAATAAAGCAGGCACATAGCCAGGGGTGTGCCCTGGGCGCCTGGGCACCCTCCCGCTTCATTACTACCTGTACTTAAAGAAAGTACTAATTAATTTTCAATAGATAAGACTTAAACTTTTAAAATATTGCTTTCCGGCTTCCCAAAAACATTCATGTGATTAAACAAAGAATGAACGGAAAGTCTCAATTAATTTTCAGTTTAGAAGTAAAATCTGGAAAAGTCAACCTTCCTCACCAAACAAGCGGTGGGAAAATGCTTCGAAGGGAGTTAGGTGACACTTTCAAGTCGTAAAGGTTTTCTTCTTTTACAGTTTTGAATAGCCCTCCATATGCGGTCGCACTTTCCCTCTAGCTATTAAGCTTATGTCACTAAAGAATCAAAAGCCCTTTCGTTTCGGACCAAACGAAAATAAATATTTATGAAAAAAAACGTAAGTTGGGGTATTTCATTTTGAGATTTGCTACTTATTATCTAAATATAATATAATAATATTGCACAAAAGAGGGAAGGAAAGATAGTAAAATTATTTTGAGTGATTATTTTTTACATTAATTTCGAAAAGCATGCATTAACGCATACGCATAATACGTTTACGCATGCGCATAAGACGTTTATGCATGTGCGTTTAATGTATAACGATGGTATAAGCTAAGCTAAAATTATCTAATTATCTATTTCAGTTAATGTTGCAGATTGCACTGTTCCTTAATCTTCTAATTGGATCCGGCTTATTATTTTTTGCAGACTGTTAGAGCAATTTTATAAAAGTAAGCTTGAACTTTCGATTATGTCAAAAAGAATTTCCGATTCTCTAGCTGCCAAAGGATCTACAAAGCGAAAGCATGTTTTGATGTTCATCAAACAAAAAGTTGAATTTGCTGCAAAAAATAGATAAAGGCATATCCTTTGTTTCTCTAACCATTCCGAAATCTGTTTATCAATTTCACGCTGCTCTACGGCTTATAATTTAAAAAAAATATTAATATGGTTTCTGGCTTTTTTTAACTTGAAGAGATTATTTCAATTTATGCTTCCGTTATTGTTGTCTTTGATGAAGATTCTCCTTTATTTATGCTTTTTTCTCCCATAACATACTGTTGCTATCATCAGCTTGTACAGCATTCATCATATGTAACAGGTCCATAGCCTGCTGTTTTTGATACTAAACATGTCAACATACTTCAGTATGCTGTAGTAAAAACTTCCGATTCATCAGACCAGCATACTGTTTTTCAGTGTTCGGCAATGTATCATTGTTTGCAATTCCATTATTTCACAGAGCTGTAATGATGTAGTTTGCACCATTCTAAATGACTGTTGATATATTAATCTATTTGCATCACAGCTGTATATATTCTGTATCTCCATTAATCAGGGGCTTTCAACTTGTCAGCTCATACACTGAGTAATGCTAGGGTTTTTAATTTGTTTTTATTTCCAATTTTCTTCAGAAATTATGTCTAATAATCAAAGTTTTAAACTTCGATTAGAAATATGTAATGTTACCAATGGACAAAAAGGCCTGAACTATAATAAAAGTAAAATTTGCTGGTAATTGACAAAAAGCTCAGTAATTTTTATCTTCAGCATCTGTACTACTTGCAAGATACTCATGGAATATTTCACATTTGATGAAAAAAAGAACATTACCGTGAGTGTATTATTCTGCTGCTGGTGGCATGTGGACATCATAGTCATAGATTATTACGCAATTGGTGGTTACCAGGAAGCATCATCTGCAAATTATTTTGCTTGCAGATACAATATGAATGGCTTTTAAGCCCAACTTTATGAATATTAAACCATGTACTTTCATTGCTGGGTTGCTGAAATTGTACTGCTGGCCCTGTGTTCACAAGTAGTGAAAGGTTTAGTTTATCTATGGCAAAGCACACAAGGGCTATCTGCCGTAAAAAGAGGGATGTCCTCATGGAATTGCACTTTTTAATGGAAACTGGTTCACATCCACATTACACTTGGGGAGAACCATAAAAATGCATCTGCAGCCAGCCTATTCACCTAGAATCAAACTCAGGTCAAAGTACTAGCGTTTAGTGACTTTACTGCTTGACTGCTGAGGGGTCAAGTAGTGAAAAAGACATTTGCAATAATTCCTAAGGCATCGAGATGATTTCGTATGAGAACATGCTTCAGAATTCGCGGATTTGATCTGCCAGTTTCTTCCTCTTGCCAAGTAGATGACAGTATTCAGCATTTCCATAGTGTTTTCAATTCAAAACAGCTTAGCTTAGCTTAGCTTAGCGTCAATAGATATCAGGGCAGATTCAGTTATAAGAAGAATGTTTTTGGCTACATTACAAAACTTGTAAACTCCTGATATCATATTTTAGCTCCAATCCTTCATTCATCTTGATTTCAAAACTCTTTTTTTTCTTATTATAATATATGTGCACATTGAATTAGAAATATGGCTACATATTTGGTTGCAAATACATTTTGGTTGACTGCAAATGCATCATCCATGCTGCAACTGATTAGTGCCTAGAATGATGTAGCAAATAATTATGAGAGTATTACAGCTAAGGCAAATACGATAATGTGACTGGATAGTCAAGTCTGCAAATTAAAGAACTCTATCAACTAAATTGCTTCAAATTCTGCTTGCTATTTTGTATGCTTCCAACACTCAGCGATGTTGCTTTATCAAGTCATTTTGGGAGATATTCTTTTCTGGATACTTACCTTTATAATCAGTTATTTTCTTTACTTTCCCACTTTGTTGACAATAATAGACATTAAAACCATGTCTGACCAATCAGGCAATGGTTAGTTATTAGCCTTCTAGGCAGTGACCAATCAGGCAATAGTTAGTTATTAGCCTTCGTTATTAGCCACATTCTAGGCAGTGATTAATTGCAGCATGGATTGCAAATACATGCATGGATGCATGGAATTGCGATATGGATGACTGCATTCATGTTGTAACTGTAACTTGGTTCTGTAACGTCAGTACCATCTTAACTAATAGTACAAGTTTGTTCACATGATTCTTATTTGAAATAAAAAAGTTTAATTTCACCTTCAACATGATTTATCATTTTCCTCTACAGTATTTAATAACACATTACATTTGCTTTAAATGTATAAACCATATTTCTAACTCACTCTGTATATTGTGCAGTTTCTAAAGTAGCAGTATGAAAGAACATCAATGACTAATAGTATTCCATGTCAACAGAAGGTAACATCTACTGACATTAGATGCAATGAATGAGGCTATGGATTTATGTTCTGAAGAATTATTCTGGAATGTTTCAAATCTAAAGTTATATAAAAGAGGGCTGTAATTAACATCTTAAGTCTGATGATTTAATTCATAATGACATAATACAGTTTGCGATAAAACTGCTTATTCGTTCACAGCAATTGAGATGTATGCTCAAACTGTTGTGGATCGTGTGAATGCTAATGGAATGATAGGATGAAGACATAAAAGTATTGCTAACTTTTGTGAGTGTATTTTTGTATTTGAATTTTATAATAGAAGCAAATAAAGAAGAAGAAAAGCAAGAATATGCAATTTCACCAGCTATTCATTTGGGTAAAATAAATAAACTATGCTAAAATTTGATATAAATTTATGGAGAAATGCTCATTTTTAGGAAATATTGCAAGTGTATACCAGATTTTTTCCAAAGGAAGAGGTACACATATTATGAGCCTGACTTGTTTTTCTTATGCTTATCTTAAAAACATATCTGAAGTTCCTCATGATATTTAGAAGCAAGCATTGTTGAAGGAGTACTATGTTTCTTTAATAACTGTTTTTTCTTTGTTAAGTGGATTGATAAATTGCATGAAGTTACCAAAGAAACAAAGTATAATGACTCATTTCTGAGACTCCTTTGAATAATGGAATTTGGTTACACATCAAAGATGTTCCTTAGTTTTTTCCTGAGCCGTTATTCATATTGTAATATATATTCACTGTTTATGTGCATGCATAATAAACTAAAGAAGGGAGAAAATATTAAAATATTTGTTATTATTAATGTTCAAGAGTATTGTTTCATGATAAAAGTGGCATTCGTATTATTATTTTGAAAGCAGACAATGTTGCTGCTTGTTTAGAACTAATTGCTGTAACTAACTAGAACTAATTTAACTAATTATTCCTCTGGGAAATTATCTCAGAATTTAACCACCATAAACAATATTTCTATTTAATCAATTAGCTGTTTTTTAAATATAGCAGTGAATTAAATTTATTATTGGATAATAATCTGCTTTGAATTCTGAACTCATTTTTGTTTTGCCTTATATGTGATTGATGTCATGCTAAGCCATTTTCTTTTGAAGTATAACACTTTTATTTACAGTGTTCAAATTCATGTGGAGAAGGTACAAGAAGAAGAACTGTAACCTGTAATAATTTAGATGATGGTTCTCGTCTTCCTCCAGATCACTGTGATCCCAAATTAAAACCAAAAATTGTAGAAAAATGTTTTAGCCAAGCATGTAACCGCTGGGAGTTTGGAGAATGGTCTGAGGTACATCTTTTTTTTGGATCCTTTTTGTCATAATTCAACAGTGCTATCCATCCCAGTCACAATAAAAGTCATGTGCTTTCAGTATTCATAGAAATTATATTGTTCTCATAATAACCTTTAATACAGAATGAAATCTTGTGTATTATGCACTACTTTTACATATCTGTGTTTTTAAGCGTTTTATAACTATATAAAAATTAATTTTTGAAAGGGATTGTTTTGTGGGTTGCTAAGTGCTATAATTAGGTAGGTTCAACAAATCCATAAATTTAAAGCACAGGACAGTCTGGAGTGGAAAGATATGTTATTAATTTATGTGACATAAAAATTCTTATGTAAATATATTGTTTATAAAGAATTATTTTTTGTATTTGTTTTATTATTTTTTCCTTTACCTTGAAAAGGCCAAACATAAAATCATATGCAGATCTCATGAGTAAGTATTTCTTAAAGTACAGATTTGAATTGAAGCTGTTCCTTATTTCTCTTTAATTCAGCATGCCATTTTGTATAGGTTAAATTAGAAAAGAATTATATTCATATTTTCAGGTAACTCTCTGATATTGTGATTAGTAATTTCCATGTTATATGAAGCAGTGTTATTCAAGATTAATAATTATTAGTATTTTTACTCCAAAATTACATAAGATTGGATATTTGGTTCTAAGGATTAAGGGCTTGTGTAAATAAAAGCAAACATTTTATTTTATATTTTTATTTGTACTACCAATATTTTAATTAAAAATCAATTAGAGTATATTTTAAATTCATTCAAGACAGGAAATTAAAACTTAACTCATGAAAAGTAATATTTCCTTGACTGTATATATTGCCTTTGTCTCTTTCCATAAGATAAATCTCTATCTTTAAATTGGTAATCCGTACAACTCAAGTATAGTGAAAGGCCTCAAAGACTCCCTATTACATTCTGTGTAGCTCAATGATCACTTTTTTCTGATCATTTCATGGGTTCTCCTTGTGAAGCTGAGTATTATCTTTGAAATAATATGGTGGTCTACTAATAGCTGGATTCCAATAATTTCTCAAATCACCTGTACTGTACAAATTATATAGATACATTTTATCTACAAGATAGATTTATGAGTATGAGTCTCCTTATGTTTTGATGTTCAAAACTTTGTTATGGTATTCTACTTTTTCAATTTCAGTCCCTTTTTCTTCATGACAATTCTTGGATCTATCTAACGAAGTTGGTGACATTATTCGTTCTTTCCGTAGGAATTCGAATCTGTCTCATCCCCCCTCTCATTCAGGTTTGTTCTAAGTACAGTTTTTCAGTTTACATCCGAGCTTACAAGTGTTATGTTCTGTTGTCTGTCCAAGTGAAAATATTGAACAAGAAGAAACGAAGACAAATTGGCATGATAATTGAAATAAAATTGGATGCCTTAAAAGAGACTGAATGAAGGGGAAAGTAATAATAAATTTGTTATGGATTTTGGTCATGAATGAACTAGTATATTGGAGTGAAAAAAAGAAGATATCTAAAATCGAGTCTTGATGTGGGAAAAAGACCATATACTGATAGGATCATCCTTTCTTTTAAAGGAAAAGTTAATAAAGATGGTAATTACGAGAAAAGTAAGTGAAGGTTTGTTTGTGGTTTGGGCAACAAAGGGAAAATGAACACCCATTTCAGGACCCATTTTACCAAAGTTATCCCTCAAGTTCTGTGAGGAAATTCAAGAGGAAAAGCTTAGATTTACTGTTAGTGTTGACAGGTGAAAGAAGCGTTTTGACATCAGACAGTTAAAGATTTGTTGTGAACATTTATCTACTGACTCAGAAAAATATAAGTTTATAAGCACAAAGCAAATTTCCACAGTGTAATTGGAAAAAGAGGATTAAATTTACAATTATCATAAGTCTGCTCTGAATTTTCAAATGCTTCATTCAGAAATGCAGTAGGAGGGAATACAACAAGCAGCCATAAACTCAAACTAGCACTCATAAGCAAAGTCAACAGGGGTTGGAAAAAAAAAAAAAAGGTACTAATGTAACTATCACCTTCTGTAATGTGAATGTTTGGTAGAGGAATCAGCAAATTCATGAATGAATAGAGCCATATGTGGTTTGATTTTTATCAGCAGTTTGTTCCCTCAGTCAAAAACTTTCTAAAATTGACAAATCTGCCAAGGAAAGCACTTCTGGTTCTCACAGTGGCATATCCCATCCTGATGTTCAACACTTATAAGTTGAAGACATTAAGAGCTATATTTTTTCCTACTAATGGGGTTTTGGTTTGTCAACTAGTGACCCAGAATTTGATTTGTCAACTAGTGGCATTTCAGAAGCACTGGAAAAGAGAGTACAGACATAAACTTCTTTCAACTCTTGTCTCAGCCATAGTGGAAGGGTGAGACATGATTGATAAACTAAAAATAAGTATTTTGGACCTGGTGAAGTCACGAAGATTTAGTGGACTAGGACCTATTGTAATGTAATCAATAGTATAAACCTAGTTTATTCCTGAACACAACTGCTAGACCATTCAGAAAGCGAATTTGAAGAAAGTAGAGAAAATTATGAAATAGTGTACTTCCTGAAAAACTTCTGGAGTGTAATGAATTACTAAGGCTGATGTGGAAGAATAACTGGGGCAGGATGAAAACTGAATTTTTAAGATATTGTGTCAGGGTTGCACTACTGAAAGAGAACAAGTATAAAATGATGAATCAGAGAATTAAGAAGATGGAAAACAAAAGAAAGTTTTAAAAAAATTACTCGCAGTGAAGGACTAAAAGCCACTGAAGGAATGCTCTGTTACTTCAAGAAACAAAGTGCATCTGCTATGGTCATTTTGCTTCTCCATTACCTAAGTGATGAATCTGAAAGAAAATGAAATGAGCCTGAGAGCTGGTTTAGCATCAGATTTTTTTTTTTTTTTTCTACAAAGAACTATTAGTCATTTCTTCAGTTTTGTATGCAAATGTTTTTTAACCTCTAAGCTTTACTTCAAGGTATGTTGTACTTCTCTGCAGTATGTATTGTACTAGAACTTTTAGTGCAATATGCATTAGAATATTGAATATGCAGTATTAATGTAGTATGCAGTAACATACTGAATTGTGAGTAACATGTAGGATTCCTCACTTATATGTATTAGCTAAGTGTTGAGGAATCTAGAGAAATATTAATCAAATGCTCGCTCAAGTCCAAGAACAGAAACATAAACTCAAGAAGGGTTAATTACCCTTTATTGCTCAAAATAAAGATTCACAGATGGCTCCTTTCTCAGGGCATACAACAATGCCTTTACTTGGGCTTAAACTCAAAAATGTAAAAAATGAGAACTAACTAATAACTAACTAAAGAGACTTTGCCGAAGCTAACACAAATTCTAAACTAGTTGACCTGTACTATTAAATTAGCTAGTGAAGCTATCTAAAGGCACATAATATGGCCAAGTGTACTAGTAGTTAGAAAGATGTAGCCAAAAGGCAAACACGCGCTATTCAGGAATCCTAACTCTGTCTCACAAAGTCAGTGAACTTAATACTTTAAAATGACTTAAATACTTTCAACTACTCATTTGCATTTAATGCGATTCTAAAACTCATTCTGGTAAGGCATTGTAATCTGAAGCTAGAAGAGATAGGAAAGCTGTTATAAACTTAAAATAACTTTCATAAAATTAGGATATACCTTACATCTTTCCCTACCAGAATTTAAGCACTCGAAGAAGAAGGTCTCATAATGACCTTGTTAAGAATTTAAATTCTAGCAAACTTGCTAACATTCAAAGTGTAACTTCTAATGCTTTTGAATTCTTAATTCAGTCTCATTATTGAAATCGAATTTTTAACTTTTGTTTAGGGCCAACTTTACAAATGATCTAAACCTAAGTTAAAACTAAGATAAATAAAATCATTTAAAAAAAATTTTTGCTCAGCAGATACATCTTGATCTTGACATCATACTTTGGTCTTTCCAAAATATCTGGAAGGAAAACGCATTAGTGCTTTGTTTCTAAGAAAAATTTCCCTTCCAATTACATTTTATTACATTTATTTGGCTCTCAAGCAGATTTCATTTACACACATTTTAACTCATTCCCTCCCTCCCACGCTCTTCAGAAATTTGTTCTATTATAAACTGAGTGTGTCAGTATTGTGTTACCACGAACAACATTACCAACTAACCATCTGGCTAACAAAAAATTAAATGCAATCTTTTTCTAAAATTTAATTTTAAGTTCAAGTTTACAACAGTTTACATCACAAATTCAGGTCTTTCTGGCTAAAAGATATTTACCATATACTTTCTCGCAAACCTGCAAATTCAAAATTCTTGCTTCTGACAGCTTTTAACACTGGTTGTCACTTAAGAAAAGCAACTTTGAACAAAATGATATAAATTGAACTTGAATTCTAAATGAGTAAACAAAGAAAATGTTCACTTATCTTTCTGCTTTTTGTAATCCTCTATTCTTTTCTGGCAGAATGCTTCACAGGTACGGCGGTTCTCCAATCTGATTTTTCTCCTTGAGTGGCCTACACTTTTTGCTGGAAATTTTTTCCTTTTCTTCCCTTTGGTGATGAATCGGACTGATTTCCTCATGGGTTGAGGATTCTGGTACTTGGCCCTTCACTTGGTTTCCTGGGAGGGGGCACGCTTTTCTTCCGAGTCTTTAAACCTCCTTTTGGACTTTCGTCATTGCTGAAGCGGTGTAAATACCACCTCGGCTGCTCTTTTACCGCTGATATTTCTTCATCCTGGATCTCTTCCGACCTCCCTTAGGGTGGTTGTCGATGGGTAATGGTGGCTATCTGTCAAGGTGTCTTTTGTTGCATTCACACCCCTCTGTGGTGCCACTCGTTTAATTGGTCTTCTATTCATTGCAATTTTTCTCTTTTCTGCTGGCACAGAACCTCGTTGCGTCAGGACTTTCTGTCTGTTGAGCAGTGTAACACCTGAGTACCTGGGCAACGAGGCCCTACCCCTAAATCAAATTATAAAAGTTTCCTAATTGATATTTC